TGTCCATACTGACAGATACTTATAGAGCCTAGTTAATGTAAGTATTATATAATATTCTAGCATATGGCCAGAGTACAATTATTTTTCTGTTGAATATCATTTAGGTTGTTTCCAGCTTTTCACTATTATAAAGAATGCTGTAATCAAACCTCCACAGGATACATCCTCTGATGAAAAGTGTAATTAATTTTTCTTGAGTACATACCTTAAAGTGGAATTGCTGGTTGTAAAGTATATAAACTATTCATCTTCACAAGATTATCTTAAATTGCTTTCTGAAGTGGTTGTACAGGTCCAGAATCCCTTCTTGAATTTTTTGGTCCAGATGTATTCTGAATTTGTGGAATATGATAATATTATAAGAATACCTCTAGCAACTATGCTATAGACAGTATCAGATAATGAAATAGTAATTCTTTATGGATAGTCACACTAAGAGGAATAAATAGACTAAGTAGCCTCACGCAGTTCTAGTCTGTTTTGCAGCCAAATGCGTTCCAAAAACTGTGTTTTCTGAGCTTTTTAGATTTTGGATTTGTACATAAGGGATTGATAACCTGTACGAATTTTCATTCCTATCAGCAATGTATAAAATTTCCCTTCCCACATTTACTTTATGACTTAGTATTGCTAGACTTTTAAAAATATTTATATTACGGCAATTCTCTGTGAATCAAAGTAGAGGTAATAATATAAGAAACCTCATGACCCATATATCTATCATCCACCTCAACAACTATCAGCATAGTCAGTCTTGTCAGTCTTGTCTCATCTATACTCTTTACCACTTCCTCAATCCCCAGATAGTTTTACAGCATATTTCACATATCATATCATTAATCTATAATTACTAAAGTATGTAGTATATACTAAAGTATATATCTGTAAAAGATAAGAACTCTTATATATTAATACATACATATGTACATATGTGTGTATGTATATACACACATACATATATAACAATCCCATTATCACACTTTAAAAGAATTAACAGTAATTTCTTAATGTTATAAATTTCCAATGTTTACATTTCCATTTGTCTCAAGGTTTTTTTTTTGCCACAGATTTGTTCAAATTCAAACAAATATACATATGCATTGTAATATAGCTCTTAAATTCTTTCAGCTAAATATTTTTCCTCTTTTCCCCCAGTAGTTTGTCTGTAGTGTTTGCCGTATTCTGGATTTTGCTGATTCCATCTTTGTGTGTAGTTTGTCTTCTTTTATCTCCTGTATTTCCTAAACTGTTAGGTCTAAGACCTTGTTAAATGCAGATTTGATTTTTGTAAGAGTACGATTCGAAATATGATGTGCAATATATATGTTTGTTGCTATACACTCTAACGTTAGTCTCTCTATTTTGTGGTATTTAGAGGTTGATCTGTGGATCAGTTTGTTTATAGAGAATTGTCAAAATGGTTTATTATTGCCATATCTGCTCAGTGTAGCAGAAAAATGAGTATGTTATATGACATTGTGTTATAATTGGAACTGTTTCCATCTTTCCACCTACGAATGAGAATGAAAAAAATCTTTTGTCCCAGTAGAATCCCTACTTCTAATATATACCTGCAGAGGTGACTAGGGGGGGCGGGCGGAGACGGGGGGCGGGGGGTGAGGGTTAGTGGCCTGAGGTGTGTGTTTGTGTGGTATTTTTGTAAGAGAAGCGGCATTGGGGAGTCGGGGGGATAAGAGAGGGGCTCGGGAAGGTGTGCCGTATTATGACATGTGTTCTCAAAACTGTTACTTTTCTGTTACCTTTATTTATGTTGTCCTTTTTTTTTTTTTTTGAGACAGAGTCCCTTTTGTTGCCCAGGCTAGAGTGAGTGCCGTGGACGTCAGCCTAGCTCACAGCAACCTCAAACTCTGGCTCAAGCAATTCTCTGCCTCAAGCTTCCGAGTAGCTGGGACTACAGGCATGCGACCACCATGCCCGGCTGAAGTTTTTCCAATATATTAGTGCGAATTAATGTTCTTTCTGTTATAGTTAGAGACAGGGTCTCGCTCTTGTCTCAGGCTGTTTCGACTCCTGAGCAGCAATCGCCGCCTAGCCTCCCAGAGGCTAGGATACAGGCGTGAGCCACCGCGCTGGCCTATGTTGTCTTTTAAATGAGTTCTAAATTTCATGTCAGCTTTTATCACATTTATTAATTATTGTATTTTATTGATATTTTAAAAGTTTGCTGACTTACAGTAGAGTAGAGTAACACTATTCAGCTTAAAATTGAAACTCTAATTTCCACTCTACTTATTTTATGTATCTATGCTATGTAACAAGTTACCCCAAACTTGGTGGCTGAAAACAACCAACATTACTACTACAGTTTCTGTGGGTCAGAATCAAGAGCAACTTAGCAAATTTCTGTGACTCGGGCTCTCACAAGTCTAATTAATGTTGACTGAGCTGCAGTCATTCACGACTTACGGGAATCTTCAACTCACTGACTGCAGCCTTATGTCCTTGCCACATGCCTTTCCACGAATCTCACCATGGTGGCAGATTCGCCAGACAGAGCAATCCAAGCAAAGCAAAGAGATACCATCATGAGTCACAGTCTTTTAAACCAATATTAAAAAACATCTAAAACCTCTCATATTCATTAGAAGAATAGGCGGCGAGCACTCATGGTGATCTCAAAAAATAAGGGTGAGTAAGAAAATTTATAAAACAATGTCTATAGTTTACTATGCATGTATATTTTCAAATATTCAAAATAACAAAAAATTATTGAAAATACAAATATATATGGTAAAGTATAAAAATACAGCCTAGAAAGATATACACTAAATTCATGTAGAGGCTATCTATGGAGAGTTAAGAAGGGGATTAGAACTATGGAGGGAAAAAGGAGGGTTGCAGGATTTCAAGTTTTATTTATTTATTTATTTATTTTTTGAGACAGAGTCTCACTTTGTTACCCAGGCTAGAGTGAGTGCCGTGGCGTCAGCCTAGCTCACAGCAACCTCAGACTCCTGGGCTCAAGCAATTCTGCTGCCTCAGCTTCCCGAGTAGCTGGGACTACAGGCATGCACCACCATGCCCGGCTAATTTTTTCTATATATATTAGTTGGCGAATTAATTTCTTTCTGTTTATAGTAGAGACGGGGTCTCACTCTTGCTCAGGCTGGTTTTGAACTCCTGACCTTGAGCAATCCGCCCCGCCTCGGCCTCCCAGAGAGCTAGGATTACAGGCGTGAGCCACCACGCCTGCCTCAAGTTTATTTTTAATTTTGCATTTCTTTTATGGAATACTTTTGAAACCAAGGCAGAAGGGTTTACATTTATCTGATCTTCCTGTAAGTATTTTTCATTAACCTCAGATGTCCACGATGAGACTGCATCTCTTCCAGGTAAATTAGTGCCCCCACAGTCCTGACATAAATCACTTATTTTGATTGTGTGTGGTCTGACTAGTCCTAGGGTAGATCACTAGGGTTTGCCCTATTATATTTTATTAAATAGGTTTGCTTAAAACTCTACTCCCTTAGTAAACACTAACCCAGAGACTGAGAATACTATATATAACACACCTGATGCTTGAGAACTTTAGTATCAGAATTCTATATAATAACTCCAAATTATATATAAATTCTATAAAGTAACTCCGGAATTATAAGCTACATAAGTTGGGTACAAGTATGTCCCAAAATACAAATTAAAAGAAAAAGAAAATGTTTTCTTCATAGAGGGAAAAAAAACCACAGCAGATATATATACTTAAAAATAATAAAACTGTCCTTCTTATTTTTTATTAAATAGGTCTACCTGGAATTTCAGTATTTTAATTTTCTATTTATCAACATAATATATAAAGGAAGCAATATTTACTTACTCTGACATATTAAAATACAATTTTATTACATAAAGTAATTGGTTATATTTACCATAAGTTTCCTTTTTAGTTTAATATGCATTTTAATTAATTAACATTCAGTGGTTATTACCAAAATAAAAATGTATCACCTTAGGAAAATCACATTTTCACAATGGACTATGGCTGCTGCTGAACCTTTAAAAATAATTCTTTAAAAAAAGTACCTGCATTGACAAATGGGATTCCATCATATGGGACATACTGGGATTTCCACATCAAGCGTGTAGCAGGCTTCGCTGGGCTTGGAGACTGGCGAGTCCCCCAAACACTCTGTGTTTGCTGCTTGTGAAATGTTAGGACACTTTCTAACTCAGTCTCACTTACACAGTAGCCACGATATGAATCTCCAATTTTCTGCATGTAGTAGAAAGTAAATAACAAAATTATTAGCAAATATGCTTCACTGCACAATAAATTTAATAAGATGTTTGTTCAAGATGAAAGATTCATCATCTTTCACAAGAGAGTGTCATTTGTTCCCTCACATCAATGGACTGTTACAACCAGTGGGTCTGATCTGACTTCAATGAGTATCATCAAGTAGATGTTTTCCAGGTATTTGTTAGGGGAATATAACTCACACTCACTGCCACACTATCATCTTTCCCAAAGCTTGAGAGAAATAATATTTAGAAAGGATAGCTTAAAGAACATAAGGTGCATCCATTCTTCCAGATTTTAAAAATTCTACCCCTGGATCAAACCAGATCAGCATAAAACTAGCCACAAAGTACTGCTTCCCTGTGGGGCTTCTTTTACTGAGACTGATTTTGATATGATGCCATGAGTCAATTTGAAACTCTATGAAAATTGTGATTCTATCGTGCATAAAAATGTTGTATAAGAATTTCCTCATTATACCAATATTCTTTTTATGAAGATCCTTCTTTGAGAGAAATTCCTGTCTGGCCTTAGTACCAAAAAGAGTTAATGGTTTGCTTTCATCTTATGGAAATTGGCATAATTTTTTACATCTAATAGGCATAGAATTTAGTTAACTAATTAGGTTTCCTCTTTTGAAATGCAGATACTTAGATTATAGATAAGCATATATATGCATATATACACACAGTTTGTTAAGATATTTATTTCTTTACTTCCATTTAATGGTCCTGTTCTTGTTTTTCTTTATTGTTTAGCTCCCACTTATAATTTACACCTTGTTAATATATTTTACACATTTTTGTAAGCAGTCTTAAATTTTTTCTAAAACATGGCAAGGTACAAATAAATCACGTGAATAAATTTATCTTATCTACACAACCATTTGAGTATCCCTGTACTAGAGGAGAAGCTTTTTCTACAGCAACAGAGAAAATTTGTTAACTGTAATCTCTTACACTGAAATGCATACAGACCTCGAATTGACTCCATGTATTTTTCCCTTATAGAGGAAACAAAAGCAGAGATTTGGGCAGAGAGATCTTGTTCCTCCTCATTAGACTAAATATTTCACCTTGGAAGAATACATTTAACAAAGAGAATGGTATCAAAACACTGTTGTGGCTGTACTTTTGGCCATAATAAAAAGAGATAATCTAATGTCAAACAATACATTATCTACAAATTTCCCCAAAATAATGAAATTGCTTATGTTTAAAATTTTTTTCTGGCCTAGATATTTCTTCATAAAATATCTACTACAAATAAAAGAAGGCATATAATGTCTAGCTATAATATTTTCATATATATAAAAGGAATTGAATATATAATATTGTCAATAAAAGAAAAATTCAGAATTAGTATAATATAATCAGGCCTATCTATCTATAGGTAACCCTATAAATAAAAGTTTAATATGGTATTGATACACTTTAGTCAAGTCTGGAAAAAAAATGCCTATAGAAAAACATCCTTAAATGAGAAATTCAAAAAGTAAAAAAGATTACCGAACAGTATTTTGAAGCAAAATGCAGAAAATATTTCTTCACCCATTAACCAGAAATGTTTTTCATTATTGATATAACTTGGGACAGGAGAAAGAATCCTTCACTGGGAGAGAAGTAGTTGCTCATCTTGGAAAACCATATACATCCTGGACAGTTTTAACCAGTGTCTTATAAGATACATGACTTGAGATAAGATGCATAATGCACTGTAGTTGTAAAATAAAGTGATTTGGCTACATAATTGCAAATGTTCTAATATCCATAGCATTCTGTGAAGTTTTCAATAGTGATTTTTTTTTTTTTTTTTGGAGACAGAATCTCACTCTGTTGTCCAGGCTAGAATGCTGTGGCATCAGCCTAGCTCACAGCAACCTCAAACTCCTGGGCTCATGCAATCCTTCTGCCTCAGCTTCACAAGTAGCTGGGACTACAGGCATGCACCACCATACCCAGCTAATCTTTTCTATATATTTTTAGCTGGCCAATTAATCTCTTTCTATTTTTAGTAGAGATGCAGTCTCGCTCTTGGTCAGGCTGGTCTCGAATTCCTGAGCTCAAGTGATTCTCCTGCCTCGGCTTCCCTGAGTGCTAGGATTACAGGCATGAGCCACCATGCCTGGCCTTTTTTTTTTTTTTTCTTGAGGCAAGATCTTGTTCTCTTGCCCGGGCTAGAGTACAGTGGCATCATCCTAGCTCACTGCAACCTCAGACTCTTGAGCTCAAGCAATCCCGTGTGCCTAGCTGATTTTCCTACTTTTTGTAGACAGGGTATCCTGGCCTCAAGCAATCCTCTTGCCTCAACCTCCCAAAGTGCTAGGATTATAGGTGTGAGCCACTGTGGCCAGCCTATAATAATGAATTTTAAAACCCTCATCAAACAATCACAACAGAAACTTTAGAAAACTGCTGAAAAATTGTGACCAAAAAAAGATGTCAAGGGAAAAACCTCAAAAATAAAAGAAAAAATATATATACACACTACTTAGAAAAGCAACAACAGTAATGAGGTCCTAACTGGTGTAATATATTAATATCACAAGACTGAGTATTAGAAATTTTCTCAAAATATTAAAACTGAAGGAATATTTTTCTTTCTTATATTTTAAGATTTGTGTAAAACAATGACGCATTTTATTTATTTAAGATAGACTCTTGCTCTGTCACCTAAGCTAGAGTGCAATGGCGTCATCATAGCTCATTGCAACCTCAAACTCCTGGGCTCAAGTGATCCTCTTGCCTCAGCCTCCTGGGTAGCTGGGACTATAGGCATGAGACACCACACCCAGCCAATTTTTTCTATTTTTAGTAGAGATAAGGTCTCACTGTTGCTCAGGCTGGTCTCGACCTCCTGAGCTCAAGTTATCCTCCCCTCTCAGCCTCCCTTAGAGCTAGGATTACAAGTGTGAGCCACCAAGTCTGGGCCAATGAAGCATTTTAATAGTTAAATACTCATTACCATTTATGGTTTACATACAAATGGGGTTATGTTCCTTTCCCTCAAAAAGTCTAATGGTTATGTTATAATGAACAACACAAGCTAGGCAACAATGAAGAATGGTAATTACAATAAATACCAAATAATTTAAGAGAGAAATATGTTAAAGGCTAAAATAATCATCAGATAATTTATAGAAAAGATATGTAGGATTTGCATTGGGATTTGAAGAATAGTTAGAAATAGTAAGTATAAGAAAAAAATAAATATAGGAAATGGAGATAAAAATGAGTGAAGGTAGAGCTACAGAAAGATTCTGGAGTGTCTGTAGAAAGTAGGAGGATTAGGCTAACAGGAATAACAGATGAGTTTGATGGGCTGGGCATGGTGGCTCACACCCGTAATCTTAGCACTCTGGGAGGCCGAGGTGGGAGGATAGCTCGAGCTCAGGAGTTCAAGACCAGCCTGAGCAAGAGCAAGACCCCATTTCTACTAAAATAGAAAAATTAGTTGGGCATGGTGGCATGTGCCTGTAGTCCCAGCTACTTGGGAGGCTAAGGCAGGAGGATTGCTTGACCCCACAAGTTTGAGGTTGCTGTGAGCTAGGCTGACACCACAGTACTCTAGCCTGGGCAACAGAGTGAGACCCTGTCTCAAAAAAAATAAAAGGATGAGTTTGAGAAAAGTAGGAAGTAAAATAGGACAAGATAGGATGATATGAGATTATGGAAATCTTTGAAAGCTAGTTACAGTGGCTAAATAATGTGGAAAAAAATAACACAACTTCTTGGGCAGTGTGAAAAGACAACAAAAGCAATATTTAAACATAAGTAGTTTTAGAAAAATTCACATTGGGGACCTGAAATGGAAGAGTCAAAGAGATTAGGGAGGAAGTCTATTATTGTAATCAAGCACGAAAGGACAAAGGTCTATGGAAGAATGGGCCAAAAAGAAAAAGATACTTTAAAGGAAAAACTAAAAGAATCCAGTGACTATTTGAAAATGGGAAGGGAAGAAATTATTCTTAACCTTTGTGTCTGGGTGTCTAAAGAAACAGTATTTGTCATTTCACAGACATGGAATTTAGGAAGTGGAGCTAGTTGTGGCACGGTAGACAATTTGGGTTTGGGATATGGCGAATCTGTGAAATCTAAATAAAGCTTCAAGTAGGTACCCAGAGATCTGGGACAAGAGGGAGGACATAATAAAAGAACTGGTGATACAGACTTGGGAATTGTTTTTATAAATGTGAGAATTGAAAGTCAACAAAGTGGCAGGGTGTGGTGGTTCACACCTGTAATCCTAGCACTCTGGGAGGCCAAAGTGGGAGGACCACTTCAAGTCAGGAGTTCGAGACCAGCCGGTGCAAGAGCAACACCCCATCTTTACTAAAAATAGAAAGAATTAGCCATCTCTACTAAAAATAGAAAAAATCAGCTAGGCGTGGTGGTACGCACTTGTAGTCCTAGCTACTTGGGGAGCTGAGGCAGGAGGATCACTTGAGTCCAGGATTTTGGGGGTGTTGTCAGCTTTTATTTATTTCAAAAATAAAAAAAAAATACAAAAATTGCATACAGACATACAGTCAACCAAGCAGATAATTGCTCCAAAAAAGAAAATGCAGAGAAAAAAGACAAGGTCAGAAAGTGAGACTTGAAGAATTTCTGCTACAAATGTGAACAGAAATAAGTATAAGCAAAAAGAAAGAAGAAGAAATTATCAAAAAATAGAAAGTAAAGAAACATGATAACGAAGTTTCATGAACAAGAAGGGAAGAGGGCTGCAAAAGAAGAAATCATAGTGGAATATGAAGAAATTTATATGACTACTGCTTTAACAGAGCTTATGATTTCTAAAGAGTAAAAGAATAGATGAGGTCAGGGTTAGCATAAACATAAACAAAATATTACAGATACAGCCTATATTAGCTGTACTCAAAAGTGGGCATTTGGAGATGAATTGTGGTTATAACCAGTTAAGTAATTCTAGGTAAATGATTATTTTCAACTCACCTCACAGCTCCTAAGACGACAGGCCCATACAGGTGTGTTAGAAGAAAGTGGCTGAAGAGGAGCCAGAAAAGGTTCTTCAAGCATTCTGGGATGAGGGAGGAATATATTTAAACATACAGTTCTATACACACACAAAAGGCATTCACCTACTTTATCCTCTTAGTGTTAAAGATAATATGTCAATAAGAAATTTTAACAATAACTGCATATTGATCTGATGGGTGCTTTAATTATCATTTTTTAAATCATTACTGTTTTATTAACTGCTAATTCAAAGACCTAAGTTTGTTCCTCCAGGTACCTGAGGTCCCAACAAATTCAAGTATTTTAGATCTCTCTCCCAAAGCTTATATTCTTCTCTCCACTTATTATATAATTATTTTCCATTTATCAAAGAATGAGCTAATAACAAAAAACAATGGTGATACAGCACCTCTTGTATTATCCTGGATAGTGCTGGAACCCATTCTACTAAGTATCCTAAGAATGGAAAAATAAGCACCACATGTACTCACCATCAAATTGGTTTTAGCTGATCAACACCTCAGTGCACATATAGGAATAACATTCATTGGGCACTGGGCAGATGGCAGCTGGGAGGAAGGGATGGGTATGTACATACATAATAAGTGCAATGCATACATCTGGGGGATGGACACGCTTGAAGCTCTGACTGGGGGGCAAAGGGCAATATATGTAACCTAAACATTTATATCCCCATAATACGCTGAAATAAAAAATAAATAATAAAAAAAAAACAAAGAATGAGCTAATAAAAGATGTTCAGGTGTACTTTTTTTTTTCTTGTTAGAGACAGGATCTCATTTTGTTGCCCAGGCTAGCTAGAGTGCAGTGGTCTGATGATAGCTCCTGAAACCTTGAACTCCTGGGCTCAAAAGATCCTCCTGCCTTGGCCTCCGGAGTAGCTAGGACTATAGGTGCGCACCACCAGGCTCAGATAATTTAAAAAAAATTTTTGTAGAGACCAAGTCTCACTATGTTGCCCATGCTGGTCTCAAACTCCTGTCCTCAAGCAATCCTCCCTCCTCAGCCTCCCAAAGTGCTGAGATTGCAAGTGTGAGCTACCATGCCTGGCCAGGTAATTTGTTACATAGGCTGGGTGTGGTGGCTCACTCTTGTAATCCTAGTACTCTGGGAGGCCATGGTGGGCAGACTGCTCAAGATCAGGAGTTCAAAACCAGTCTGAGCAAGAGCGTCTCTACTATAAATAGAAAGAAATTAACTGGCCAACTAATATATATAGAAAAAATTAGCAGGGCATGGTGGCGCATGCCTGTAGTCCCAGCTACTCAGGAGGCTGAGGCTGTAGGATTGCTTAAGCCCAGGAGTTTGAGGTTGCTGTGAGCTAGGCTGATGCCATGGTACTCTAGCCAGGGCAACAGAGTGAGACTCTGTCTCAAAAAAAAAAAAAAAAAAATGCTTTCATAGCACAATTTAAAAAATATAAATAATATATAAACCACGTATATATTTTCCCTAAATTATTATGAACAGTGTTATTTTAAGGCAAAAATTAAAACTGAAATGGAAGTTAGAAAAAACCATTTTATATACTTTATCACAGAGGAATAACATGCATAAAAATGTGATAAAACCATTAAAAAAATTTAGGAACCAGAATGAATATTTCTTTATTCTAAAAACTCTTTCAGTGTCAGATGTTTTCATGTTGCTTCAAAAGATAACAAGTAAGTGTCACTGAGGAAAAGTAGCACTTTTGACATGTACAGCTTCCAGAGTAGCCTCCTTATTGCCAAGATGCCATTAAAATAATTAAAGATATATCTGATGATTGTTTCTTCTATTTTCTGAATTTCTGATCTTCTCTATAGTCATCAGCTTTAAATATGACAATTTACAAAAACACTTCCATGGTGACAACAAAAGATGAGCTCCTCCTTCCCACGAACTCACCTGGCCACTGACTTTTTGGGCAATGTGAGGGATGTTTGTGGATGAAGAATATAACTACTGGTATTGTCTGCTAATGCATTTATTCTTACAGTTGGTAAGTTTCTGTCATTGGGTTTCTCTTCACAGACATCTTAACAACAAAAACAAGAACAAACCAACATCAGTATCTTCAGTAACATCATGAGAATGTACCTAACTAAAACATGTATTTGTAACAGGTAAAGGAAGAACTGCTCTGAAGCTAAAGATAACTAACCTTCTAATGATTTATTGAGAATTTCTCTGATAAACTTATTTACTTTTAAATTATAATATTCACTATTTTTATAATTTTTTGTAATTTATATTGAACACCTAGGATATAAAAGTGGTAGAAATAATTGTTATATTAGGAGTTTCACAATACAATAGAAAAATATAAAACCAACTCTTTTTTGTTTTTGTTATACTATGTAATGTTTTCTGTAAGCTATATTTTTTATTAAGTTTTAATGATTGTTAATAAAGAATCATAACACTAAAGTAAAAATATCTACCCTAAACCATTAGCTATGAAGGAGTAACAAAACAATGTAGCTATAATGTTAGAAAAGAGATTCAAATAAATGGAAAGGGAAGGAGGCAAGAGGAAGAGAACTAATATGGATATTATCAAAAAGGTAAAGAAAGAATATATAAAAAGAAATGAAGGGCATGATTCTCCCTTCTGAATCTGAAGGGACAAAGGAAAGAGGAAAAGAGCAAGAGGATAAAAAGGATAGTTAAAAAAATGAGTCACATAGCTAACAAAAATATTGATAAAAATACAAATATAAAAACTTTTCTGGCAGCTATTAGCACAATATTTTTGTTATTGTTGCTGTTATTCTTACTGTTATTATAATTAAGAAGAATTTATTTTATGCTCACTGGTCATTTGGGAGGAAGCAGGAGTCAACCAGCTTCATAGAATTCCAAAATGAAATAGACAGCTAACCTAGACAGGAGTTGAAAAATGAACTTGAAATTTATTTGGGCCAAGAAACGTTTTCTAATTATTTAGTTCACAATTTTACCTAAAGAGATCCATTTCAGCACTGACTTTCATGAGGCGATTTTCTAAAACATATATTTGTTCTTTAAAACATTCTCAAAACCCCTATATCCCATTATTACTCACCCCGACTATTCACATCCACAAGCTGCCCCTGAGGTAAAATCACTTGTGCCATTCTTGTCTGGGTAGATGGAATTACACGAAGTACCTGTCCATTTTCTGATGGGCTGGCAACGATCATCTTGAAAGTATTAAAAAAAAAAAAATCAAATGCATATGCCTATACTGATTTAACAAAATTAGGAGTTAAATAAATTATTAAATGCCTACTTACCCATATGATGGAGTCTATTATTTCAATGTTATAGATGAAACCATTGCGGCATATAAAAATTTTTTCCAAGGTCTCATAACTGATAAGTGATGAAGCCAGGATTCAAGACAGGCAGTTGGACTCTACATCCTATGATCTTAACCACCTATGATCTTAACTATTATATATGCATGAGGTATAATTACTTAGTAATCTAAACAAGGCTGTCTGGACTTCATACATCACTTTTTGCTACTTCCTGTATTATTCATACATGTTTGGCCAATTTTTGTGGCAATCATTTGTCCTATATTTTAAGTCATTTTCATTAGCTTAAAAACAGTAACTTGTTAGATGTCTAATTAAACAAGATTTATATTTATATCTCTGCATTTACATATCCTGTGTTGGTCTATCACGAACACTACCAAGTGCCCAAAAAGTCTGAAAACACAAGGACAATATTTATTTATCCAGTTTAACAACTGAACCCCACTCTCTGAAATTTAGAAGAATATCAACTAAAAAGGCATGTGAAATTGAAAAAAAACATTTTGAACTTATTGTAGCCACCATACCCGGCCTAAACACAAGTAATTTTTTATAATTTACTCGATCATAGGAAAATTTCATAATTAAGACTGATCTGTGGGGCCAGGCATGGTGGCTCACGCCTGTAATCCTAGCACTTTGGGAGGCCGAGGTGGGAGGATTGCTCGAGGTCAGGAGTTCAAAACCAGCCTGAGCAAGAGTGAGACCCGTCTCTACTATAAATAGAAAGAAACTAATTGGCTAACTAAAAATATATAGGAAAAATTAGCTAGGCATGATGGTGCATGCCTGTAGTCTCAGCTACTCGGGAGGCTGAGGCAGGGGGATCGCTTGAGCCCAGGAGTTCAAGGTTGCTGTGAGCTAGGCTGATGCCACAGCACTCTAGCCCAGGCAACATAGCGAGACTCTGTCTCAAAAAAAAAAAAAAAAAAAAAAAGACTGATTTGTGGAATATCTCCTTAATTTTAAAACTGTTTCCCAAGCACAGTGAAGAAGAGTCTCCTCTATTTTATCAGCTTATTCCACCTGGTACCCAAAGCACCAAAAAAACTATTCAATTCATGTAATTTGACAATGGTGATAATATTACTCTTCCTCCTTAAAACACTCCTGCTAATTACTTTTAATCTTTGTTATAATAGCTAACATATTATAGTTTTGAAGAGTCATCTGCTATAATACATTCCATTCAAGGTAGACCATGAAAATTACTAGAAAACCTCAGTTGAATAGTCCTTACTTACTGGGCTCTTTGTGTACAACATGTCTAATAAACCCAAAATACTAACTCTGCTTTCCCCCCAAAAGCTCTTCATCCATTGCAGACTTACCCAATGTAGAATCTTTACTAACTCCTTGATAGCTACTGTGTAAAAAGTCATATTGCAAAAAATAAAAATTTATATTTCTTTCAAAAACTTCCATTTGATTGCAGATGATGCTAATAGTGGAGGCTATGCACATGTACAGGGAGTACATATATATGGAAATCTCTACCTCCTGCTCAATTTGGCCATGAACCTAAACTTGAACCTAAAATTAAAGTCTATTAAAACAAAGAAACAAAACCAAAAAGCTCCACTAAGTTTTCCAGAATATTATCACTTTCTGATCTTCAGTTTTTTGGAAAAAAAATTGTCTTACACTCTCTGTTCTTATATTTACTCCCATCCTTCATAACAATTATTTCCTATTTCATAGTTTCAAATAATCCTGGGTCTCATCTCTTACCTTTTAAGTAATATAAAATCACCTTTATAATCACTTTGTACAGAGAATGTACTCCAATCACAAAGAGAATGGTAACTAACTTTTTTTAGACTCAAATGAACAACCTCGCTTTTTAGGAAAGTTCTTTGTGTAAAATGATCACCTTTATACATTTAGACTCCCTGATCCTTCTGTTGTAACATACATACTTTCTAAATATTCTCATAGAAACTAGAATAAATGTCAAATAATAGAAGAATTTATAGAAGGATTTCATTCTGGAAATATAAAATTAAAATGTAGTTGGTTCACATCTAGATTATTTGTTGCACTTAACCTCTGCTGGTGATGCAGTATGGTTACAGAAGCTTACCCTTTCTTTACTTTTCAACCGTGGCATAGGCCCAGAAATATGTTAAGCCTGGATATAAACAAAAAGGACTCCAGTACACTTAGTCACCTCTCAACCAATTGCTCTCAACCCGAGAATCGAGATAACTCAATTTAGCTGGATCATACAGGAGCAAAATGGCACAGATTAACTCTAGAATGCTCTAGACTAAAAATAGACATAAAGATTAATTCTAAGTACAATGGTTGTTCTATGTGATATAATTTATCACTTCAGTTATTATGTTTTTAAAAATAATTTTTATTGTGAAAGTAATAAATATTCATTGTGGGAAACCTGGAAAATTCGGGTAAACAAAAGACATCTTATTCTTCACACTATTAATTACGTAAGTATAATATATTCTTATTAACAAAAGAAGAGCTTAGAAGTTTTGTCAGTAATTTTCTGTATTTCAACCAAAACTATCTTTCATCTTTTCTACTCAAATTATGAACTTGGTCAAAAATACTTTTAGCTAACAGTTTAAAAAGTACTTAAACATTTTTATCTTTTTTTATCTTTATGCATTGTTATTCACATGACACATATTTACCTACAAAAATCAGAAAGGGTATGTCTAATTCCCAGTATATCAGTGGTACCTCCACTGCTTTCTTTTTCTTCAAAAAACCATAACAGCATGTGGCATGCAAGTTAGTGAATGAGATGTTGATAAATTAAAAACGTTGAGTTTAGTCTAACGTGTGTATTTATCAAAAGTGTAAGTTACATGTTTAACTCCAGCACTTTAGCACAATTTACAGATGATGTTAAATTTCCAACTGATCTCAAAGCACCAGTGTGCCTAGATAAAGTGATTGAGAAGTATTGGTTTAAAATACTATTTGTAGTATTAAATGGAAATCTTGTAAAATTCTTACACAAAAAGGAAAGTCATGGAAGCAGTATTTTCAACACAATGCAAGTCAAAAGTGTCACGAAATTAAGCTCATATAGTAAGACTAAAACATTTTGCTAAACAGCATAAAACTGGTTACTTATAAAATATACTCACCATGTGTGCATTAGAATCCCCCAATGACTGAAGTTCATATCGAATAGGTTGCCCATTTTGGTCCACTAGATGGAATTGCTCTGCAGAAAGAGTCTGGGTCTGAGTCAGGGGCCCTGGTATATTCTGTGATGTGAGTGAATTATTTGCTTCAGGAGTAGTGATGGGCAAAACTGCAGGAGTATCATTTTGTCCAAAGGAAGAATCCCTGGAGTCCATACAGGTTAGATGCTTTTGCAAAGAAAAAAAATCACTTTGGTTTTTGTAAGATATATTGTCAATATTTAAAAAAAAATAGATTATGTATAATAAAAATGCAAAAATATTCATTTTTCAGTTAATTGTTCACTTTACTTTTTGCAAGAGTTGTCAATTCTCACAGAATGATATAGACAGAAAGTATTTCTTAAGTGAAACTGTTGATTTTCTTTTTTTTTTTTTTGAGACAGAGTCTTACTCTGTTTCCCTGGCTAGAGTGCTGTCGCATCAGCCTAGCTCACAGCAACCTCAAACTCCTGGGCTCGAGTGATCCTTCTGCCTTAGCCTCCTCAGTAGCTGGGACTACAGGCATGTGCCACTAAGCCCAGCTAATTTTTTCTATTTTTGGTAGAGATGGGGTCTGGCTCTTGCTCAGCCTGGTCTCGAACTCCTGAGCTCAAACAATCTATCCGCCTTGGCCTCTCAGAGTGCTAGGACTACAGGTGTGTGTGACCACGCCTGGCCTGTTGATTTTTATTGCATTTCATTATCTCAATTTTATTAAAATAAAGTTGTGAATGGGAATACAACCTGAAATGATGAAATATATTTCAACCTACAGATTTTCTTTGTACATAAATTTTTATGAATACTTAATTAGCATTGCTTTAAGTAAAGCTCTATATTATAAAACTAAATATATGATAAAATATGTAGATAATTAAATGTTAAAATTCTTAACACATTAAATATAATAGTTATCCCTTAAGCATAAAAAGTTGTTAAGTGCCATGCTGTTATTCCCTAGAATGGAAAAAAGTTCCCAGGTAAATCCCTACTTCAAATACCTGAGCATCTGTTTTTGACTCTTCACTATCATTATGGTTGACTCTTAGTGAATCATTAGACTGTTCCATGCCGATATATTCAATTCCATTTTCTTCTATTATTTAATTGCTGAAAGAGTTAAAAATTTCTGATCAACTAATGCACTTAATACTTTTACGCAATGTTTTATTTTAAACAAATCTCTCATCTTCCCCACTAGGCTACTCTATATAATTTAGGTAAAATCATTTCTATTCTATAGATAAAACAATTAACATTTTTGATAAATGACTTGCCAAGGCACAAGAATATATTCAAGGTTGAGCAAAGATTAGTATTATGTACTTCTCTCATCCTATCCTTAATTAGACTCCTACACAAGCTTATTAAGATTGCTTTTATGTCTCAAGGCACTGTTATATTCTTTTAAACACTTCTAAAATTCTCATTTTTCTTTTCTTTTCTTTTTTTTTTTTTTTTTTGAGGCAGAGTCTCACTCTGTTGCCTAGGCAAGTGCCGTGGCATCAGCCTAGTTCACAGGAACCTCAAACTCCTGGGCTCAAGTGATTCTCCTGCCTCAGCCTCCCCAGTGCCCGGGATTACAGGCATGCACCACCATGCCCAGCTAATTTTTCTATATTTAGTAGAGATGGGGTCTTACTCTTTCTCAGGCTGATCTCAAACTCCTGACCTCAAGTGATCTTCCTGCCTTTACCTCTCAGAATGCTAGGATTACAAGTGTGAGCCACATGCCCAGCTCTCATTTTTGAAAGATTTAATGCAAATAAAGTTTTTAACTTTATGATTTGAGTGTACTCTGTAATAAAATCATATAATTTTTAAAAAGATGTCTTGGTATAGATGGGGATTATGTACAGATAATTCTTACCAGTAGTATACAATCATACCACTTAATATTAGCTTTGCAGGCTTTAAAAATGAAGAAATATGGATTCCAAAAACTATTTTTTTTTTGAGACAGAGTCTCACTCTGTTGCCCAGGCTAGAGTGAGTGCCGTGGCATCAGTCTAGCTCACAGCAACCTCAAACTCCTGGGCTCAAGCGATCCTCCTGCCTCAGCCTCCGGCGTAGCTGAGACTACAGGCACGTGCCACCGTGCCTGGCTAATTTTTTCTATATATATATTAGTTGGCCAATTAATTTCTTTCTATTTATAGTAGAGACGGGGTCTCGCTCTTGCTCAGGCTGGTTTCGAACTCCTGACCTTGAGCAATCTGCCCACCTCAAGCCTCCCAGAGAGCTAGGATTACAGGCGTGAGCCACCACGCCCGGCCTCCAAAAACTTTGACACTTAGGTCTAGTACTAGTTCTCAATTGGGGCCATTTTGTAAGGAACAAAATCAGTCCTATTTTATTATATGGCTATAAAATATCTTTAAATTACATCTCATTTAAGATTTTACATTATCACCTATATTCTACTCTAATTTATTACAAAAGTTCCAAAAAACCTGTAGTTATCTCTTGGGCTACAAAATTTAAGAGCAACTTTATAATGTTATGTTCTTTTTTGAATTCTGTATACTATACCTGTATTGCTTCAGAATAAGATTCTTAGGAAGGGGTTTGAAAAGTAACAAGAGCAATATGGCAAATTATATATTATAGAAATTCTCTGGCTACCAAACAAAAAAATAGAAAGTTGGCCTAAAACAAAAATCTATATTTTGGAACCAGCCTCTGCTATAGGAATTAACAAGAATCAAAGGCCATTCCCCATCCCCGGTGGCCCCCCAAAAAGAAAAGCAAAATCTGTAAGCTAAAACCTAAAAGATGAGCATAAGCAAAGAAGAAACTTTTCCCAAGGGCAGTCTTAATACACAGGGTTTCTGGCTAAGAAACTGAGACCTGGACAAGCAACTAGTAGGGGAGGAGAACTCAAAACTCATAAGATAAGACTAAGAACCTGAGAAGGTCCTGGGTGAAGAGTATAATCTGGATTCTAGCAAGAAAAAATACTGCTACTATTTGGAGGAAGGCAAATATAATTAAGGCACCAGTTTCTTTTCATATTAAGATCATCCAAAAATAAGCTCACAGTGAAAGAGTACTGAACATAAAAGTAAATAAGCCACCATGAGAGAAAGAGAGCCAACATATTTAAATGCCCCTGAAGACTTCCAATATTAGAACCATCTAATACTGAATATAATGTAATTATTTAATGTCTAGAAAAATAAAGGAAAAAAATCAAATGGATGAGTAAACAACTAAAACTATAAAAAGTTAATTTGAAAAAAACCCAAATAGAACTCTCGGAAATCAAACATTGCTGAAATTAAAAAGTCAATCTCCAGAAAGCTCAAAAAACTGCAAATAGATTCAACCCAAAGAGGTGTTCTCTGACCCATATTATATTATAGTCAAACTGTCAAAATTCAAAGACAAAGAAAGAATTCTAAAAGCAGCAAAAGCATCTAGTCACATATAAAGGAATCCTCATTATATTAACAGTGAATTTCTCAGCAGAAACCTACAGGCCAGGAAAGAATGAGATGATACATTCAAAATGCTGAAAGAAAAAAACAAACCTGTCAGCCAAGAATATTATACCTAGAAACGCTATCCTACAGAAATAAAGGAGAAATAAAATTGTTCACCGAAAAGAAAAAACTAAGAAAATACATTACCACTACAGTAGCTATACAAGAAATGCTCAAGGGAGCCTTACATCTGGAAGTGAAAAGATGATAACCCACATAATGAAAACATGTAAAACTATAAACCTCACTGGTAGAGTGGATATACAAAGGGAAAGAGAAAGAAATCAAACCTTATTGCTATAGAAAATCACCCAACGGTAAAAATAAATACGAGAGGCGCAGTGGCTCACACTGTACTCCTAGCACTCTGGGAGGCTGGGGTGGGTGGATCACTCAGGGTCAGGAGTTCGAAACCAGCCTGAGCAAGCGCAAGACCCCATCTCTACTAAAATAGGAAGAAATTAATTGGCCACCTAAAAATATATAGAAAAAGATTATCTGGGCATGGTGGTGCATGCCAGTAGTCCCAGCTACTCGAGAGGAGGACTGCTTGAGCTCAGGAGTTTGAGATTACTGTGAGCTAGGCTGACACCATGGCACTCTAGCCTGGGCAACAGAGTAAGACTCTGTCTCAAAAAGTAAAAAAATAAAAAATTAGCTGGGCATGGTGGTGCATGCCTGTAGTCCCAGCTATTCAGGAGGCTAAGGCAGTAGGATCGCTTAATCCCAGGAGTTTGAGGTTGCTATGAGCTAGGCTGATGTCATAGCACTCACTCTAGCCTGGGCAACAAAGTGAGACTCTGTCTCAATAAATAAATAAATAAGAGAGGAAGTAAGAAACAAAGTATCTACAAAACAGCCAAAAACAATCAATGAAATGACAGGAGCAAGTCCTCATCTATCAATAATAACCTTCAATATAAATGGATTAAATTGCTCATTTAAATGATACAGACAGAATGGATAAAAAAGAAATACAAGACCCAGATATATGCTGCCTACAAGACACTTGCCTCAAAAGTAAAGACACACAGAGACTGCAAATGAAGAGATGGAAAAAGATATTTAATGTAAATGGAAACCAGAAATGAGCAGGAATAGTTATCAGACAAAATAGACTTCAAGTTAAAAGCTATAAAAAGAGACAAAGAAGGACATTATATAATAATAAATGGATCAATTCAGCAAGAAAATATAACAATGTAATATATATGCACCCAACACTGGAGCACCTGATATATAAGGCAAGTGTTAGTAGCTCTAAATAGACAGATAGACCACAATACAAAAATTGTTGGGGACTTCAACACTCCACTCCCAGTATTGGACAGATCATCTAGACAGAAAATCAACAAAGAAACATTGGATTTAAACTGCACCACAGACCAAATAGGCATAACAGTTATTTGCAGAATATTTCACCCAACAGCTGAAAAATACTTCTTTTGATCAGCACATGGAATATTCTTGAAGACTAACCATATGTTAAGACACAAAATAAATCTCAAAACATTTTTAAAAATCGAAATCACATCAAGTATTTTATCTAACCACAATGGAATAAAACCAGACATCAATAACACAAGGAATATTTAAAATTACACAAAACATCAAAATTAAACAATGTGTTCCTGAATGACTGATCAATGGGTAAAGGAAGAAATTAAGAATAAAATTAAAAGAGTCCTTGAAATAAATGAAAATAGAAATAGAAAAATATTAAATAGAAAATACCCTTCTCAACTGGCACACTAAAACCCAACAGCAAGTGAAAGTCTTTCTTTACAAAAGCCACTCTGGAAAGTTTAGAAAAGCCGATTGTTTTGCTACATACAGAAAAACCAACACAGGGCCACTAAAAACATGAAAAAGGAAATATGACATGCCAAAGGTAACCCTTGAACAATAGGGGTATTAGGGACACCAATTATTCACACAGTCAAAAATCTGTGTATAACTTTTGTCTCCCCAAAAACTTAACTACTAATGGACTACTGTTGAACAGAAGTCTTACCAATAACATAAACAAGTCAATTAACAACTATTTTGTATGTTATATATATTATATACTGTATTCTTACAATAAAGTAAGCTAGAGAAAAGGTTATTAAGAAAATTATAAGTAAGAATATATTTACTAATCATTAAGGGGAAGTGGAGCATCATAAAGGTATTCATCTTTGTCATCCTCACACAAAGTAGGCTAAGGAAGAGGAAGGGTTGGTGTTGCTGTCTCAGGGGTGGCAGAGGTTGAAAAAAATCTGCATAAAGGACCTGTGAAATTCAAATTTGTTATAGTTGTTCAAGGGTTAATTGTAAACTCTCTAGTAACAGACGTCCAATGATAAGGAAATTAACAAATTGCCAGAAAAGAAGTTCAAATAATGATTTTAAAGAAACTCAATGAGATATGAGAAAATACAGATAGAAATTCAACAAAATCAGAAAAATAGTTCATAATATGAATGAGATAGTCAACAAAGGGAAATCAAAAAAAGAACTAACCAGAAATCCTACGGCTGAAGAATTCAATGAAACAAATAAAAAACACAATAGAAAGCTTCAACAGCAGACTCACTCTAGCAGAAGAAAGAATTTCTGAACTTAAAAATAGGTTATTTGATA